TCATTATCCAATAAAGTAAATTAAAGTTGTGAATATATAACTTTGCGGTTTAAAAGATAAGAACTAACTCTGAATTTTAGGAAAAATGCTCTCCGCAATAAATTGTGCTTTAAATTATTCTCGCGTGTGTGTAAAATTATCCTTGTAAAAAGAATAGAGTCGTGAATTCCTAAAGTAGATTTACGTATCTTTCGTTCGACTTCCGCGGTAAGCGCGTAGGTGGAACTGTTTTACATATTACGCGGCTGTGAGGTTTGAATGAACATATTTCGGGAAACCACGCTCAGCGATATATTATATTTCGAAATATTGAATCTCTCGGCGCGGGTGGGTGTAAGTTTATGATACAAGAACCAGACCACAAATGTTCTCCTCTTATCGATTAAATTCGCGCTCCTCGTTAACATTTCGTTCTTTATTAATTACCCATTATGCGCAGCCGAATATCGTAAAATAAGCATATCTATAAAAAAAGACTTCAAAAAATAATATAAGATTATAAAGATTTAATTATTATTCTGAAAATTTTCGGTGATAGATTTAAATGATAAAATTACGTGTCAAATATATGTTGAATATTTCTCTCTCTCTCTCTCTCTCTCTCTCTTTCCGGATATAAATCGTTTCATTGTAAAACTCTTCCGGTCGTTGACCCCAATTTATAAGGGACTATTTATAAGTGAATATATACACAATGTACATATATAACAGAATAGATATTAGATGGTCCGGTGCTCGGTTATATTTCGTCTGCGAAACGAGCGAGTCGGGCATCATCCCGCAATGATTATCTTTTTTGGAAGACAACAGGAAAGCTCTTTATCGTTATCGCGACAACACAGCAGACTCTTTTCCTACAGTTCTTCGCCAACCTACATATTGCGATGCGTTTCGGTGAATTATTTCATAATATTTTCAGTTGCAAAAATATCTTTATCATTGTTAGATATTTCTACAAAGTTACGTAATTTCTTTTTTATTTTATATTAACATTAGTAATATATATATATATATATTTCTATTTTTTTAATATACAAACCATCCAATACTTTATCACTTGATATGCCTGTTTTTTCAATCTTCCTTCATTTTTTAATATCAACATAATGTTGCAATTTCATTTTTATTTTTATGGATCGTAAAATAAATTTCAATAATTCCACGAATATCGGGAAAGAGAAAGGACTTGAACAAAACATAGCAACGTGCAGCATTTATCTTTGCTGAATAATTCGGTAATAAAAACCTACGCAAGCAAATCTTTTCAATCGAGCTCTTACGTCGTCCCAAAAACAAATAACTGTTACAACTATAGTTTGGAGGTGTTAGATTAAGATATAATGTCATATATTATTACTACATTTCCATACGAAAGATCGTTCAAAGTTTAAAAACACAAAACGAAAGACAGTATTGGGTAATTCGCGTGGGCGTAATTCATACCGGATGTCTCTGTATGTCCGTTGTATATTTGGACATATAAATATATATAGTTTCATTATTTTTATTCGATAAAAAAATTCTACAAGCGAATTATTTAACTGTAAAAATTATTAAAAAAAGATGTGATAATCTCTGAAAGTTTCACAATACATTTCTTAGTCCGCGTAAAATTTCTTCATGATATATTAGTTGGATTCATCGGGGGGCGATTCAGCTCTCGCTAGGGAGCGGATTCTCACGATTCTGAATGACTTTGGCATATAATGGCGAGTGACCCGTCCTAGGGGATTAAAAGGCACATAAAAATGCGATCCTTCTGACTACCGAGCGCTGGTGTTTCGCCCCCACCCTCCATCCCCCCTTTTGTGCCGAATATTTTCTTTCATGTTTCCCGCAACAAATGCGTCCTCTGCCCGGGCGTCGAAATCGCCCACGTACTTGTCTACAACGGGTGACTTCAACGGTACCGTCCAAGTAAAATGGCAAAAAATCTCATTTTTGTATAAATTATATATAGATTATTACTAAATATTTTTTAAAAAATATTTGTGTTTATTACTACGTATAATATATAAAAATGTATTACAAGAAGAAAAATATTGTCTGCAGCTACAGATCAAATTTGAATAAATTATTATCTTTATATTGTAATATTGAAGTGTATATTTCTTATTTATATTACTAGTGTGTAATTAAATAAAACATTAATTTCCTTGAAAAAATATTTTTTCCCCCCATAAAATCTATTAATAAACCATACACGTTCATGAATTTTTATTGTGTATTTAATTCTCTCGTTGGAAAATAATCGCTTAAAAAGCAAGCTTCATGTTTTATTGCTAGAAAGATGTTAATTATACGCGTCAATTACACGAATTTGCACAGCTGGAATTGAAAAGCGTTACCCTATTATCAGCGTGCAAGTACACGCTTCGTCATCGATTAACCGAGATACCGTAATGTCTCGTTTTGCAACGAGATTATGTCAAATAGCCGCAATTTCAGGCTCTCGGATTACACGATGCTCTCAAAGTCATGCTGATGAACGCTCTCTCCACGCAGGTCTCTTGCATTACTATCAGCTTCACGCCCGATTTAATCATCCGTTACACATCGCTCGATCTTCTCTCCGATCGCTATACACGAACCGGTTTATACATCATGAAATTTTGTACTAGTTAAATGCACGTTGTACTTCATAGGGCGGAATCACGCTGCATTCGTCATCTACCGCCCGCGGAGTTCCGTGAAATTGATTTGTTTCGATTCGAATCACGGATCAATTTTTCAGTGAATTTTTTATGGACATATCTTTTACATAGATGAGTATTTTATAATATAAAACAAGATTGTAGTTCTATTTTATTTTATTGCAAACTATATGTTTGAAAATATTGATATCATTTCTTCTGTGCTTATAAAGTATATATA